TCATTTATTTATGTTCATTTGTATTAATTTTTACAATTGATTAATTTCTTTCTTTCTTTCTTTCTTTCTTTATTTATTTACCTATTAGTCTATTTATCTATTTATTTATTTGCTTGTTGTTTTTTAAAATTTATTTATTTGGTTTGGATGGGGTATCTTGAAAGAGATGGGTGGGGGTGGCGTACGTTTATTCTGTTTTTCCCAATTAAAACTGCTTAGGTGAAAACATGCTCTCGTGGGTGAGCTAGCTCCTTAAGTTGATCCAATATCTTTTTTTTTTTTTTTTGTTTGTAGAAAAGCAGGCTGAGAGCGGAGGTAAATATGCTGGAGTGTCACCTCTAGACTAGTCCTCCATTTCACAATGTTTCATCCGTCCTTGTTGGCGTATCTTTTTTATTTTTTTATTTCCTTCATCCTCTTCCTCTCAAATCAGATGACTCGTTACTTGTTCCCAGCAACGCTTGCGTGATGTGGTAGACATCCTTCTTGTGATATTTAGCTGATGAAAACGTTAGCAGGAGTCTTTTTTTTCTCGCGCACAGAGGGTTTTTTTTTCTATTTTATTATCTTTTCTTTAGGGGAAAGATGGTGCGCACGGCCAGTCTCTGTCACCATTGCTATGGAAAGAGGAGTTGTTGTTGTTGTTTTTTTTCTTTTTTAGGGAAAGGTTCAGCGTGAGGTAAAGTTAAGGGTATCGGATGGAAACACATTTCTATTTTTAACAAATAAGGAGGTTATGATGATATTATATTTCTTTCACTATAACCAGAATATTAATGATATAGATTACATGTCTCTACCTACTTTTGTCTTTAGTAGATAGACTACACTTTCCAACATCGTATTACCAAATAGGGAGGCGAGGGTGATATTACATACTTTCTTTCACTAAAACCTGAATATTATTGATATACATGTACCTACTTTTGTCTTTAGTAGATAGACTACACTTTCCATCATCCTGTTACTAAACGTTCAGCGTGAGGTGAAGTTAAGCGGATCGGATGGGTATACTTTTCTATGTTTAACAAATAGGAAGGAGACGATATGTTATTTTTCTTTCACTGAAATCAGAATATTATTGATATACCGACTTTTTTTCTTTATTTATAGACTACACTTTCTATTATCCTATGACTAAAGGTTCAGCGGATTGGATGGGTACACTTTTTTTTATTCTTAACTAATTGGGAGGCGAGGATGTATATTCCTTCACTAAAACCACAAAATATTTTATATACCAACATTTTTCTTTTGTGAATAGACTGTACTTTCTATCATCATATTATTGCAGAAAGTTAGTACACGCGGGTGCCAGCCACCCATCGCCCCCAGTGTGCTAGAAGTCTGGTCTTAGTCTAGTGCTGCTTCCACTGCTTCATAGTCGCATTAACACTTTTCCTCGAGTTGGTATTCATTCTTCAGACCTCTAGAGGCTAGAAGAAAACTAATACTTTTTGTTCATAGCCTACTCTTGTGTAGGTTTTATTTTATGTTTGTGCGTGGGGGAGGGGGGTCTTTATTTTTTATGTTTTTTTTTATTACTT